GATCCAGCGTCTCCAGTATTTTCATAGAAAATGGGAGCAGGGAAAGCAGGGGAGATGTCAGCCCTTGTCACTTTCAGCGGTGGCTGATGGCAGAGAGCTGGCTGCAAGTTCTGGCTTTTCAAACAAGCTACTGAAATCTCTGTTCTTTTCACTTTTAAAACAAAGAGGGAAAATATTAGTGGGACGGTCGACTTCACCTTTACCTGTCCCCCCATGCCTGCCTTTTGCTGCATGATTTTTAGGGAGGAGGAAAGCTACTATGCTTCGTACGGGAAACTGCAGTGTGCAGTCTGTGCTCAACAAATTAACCCTTGGATAAGGGATGCCCTCTAAGCATGGGCACTGTATTTGTGAATGTAACTAACTGGCCAGACCAGTAGGTGACTATCTCTACTCTTTCCTCCCTAATGGACACTCCTTCATTTATAAATCCCATCTTTTATGAGGCTGGAAATAAATGGCAGAATATGCTCAGAAAACATAATTATTACTGATCATAATGTTCACATGGACTTAAGAGTGAGTATTTTCTTTGCACAGATAAAAGTTTTTCAGGCCTCCATTGCTACCTTCTTTAGGTAACTTCAACCAAATAGCTGTATTTAAGTTTTAACAATTTAATATATTTGCTGGGTTTGACCCCTACAGGCCGACCAAAATTTATTTAATCATATGATGTTCTACTTTAATAACATGACATTTGAAGACATCAGAATACACCACTGAATAAGGGAAAGGCTTCTTTGGATGACTCAGAGGACGATGGAAAGAGAAATTCTTGTGATCAGTTTGTTGATTGTATCTATCATTATTGTGCACTGATATCCACCAGACACCTGGCCTGAACTGTCCCAACTCATCTCCCAACAATGTTTGAAGGTACCTACTATTACCCTTACTTGGAAGATGAGAGAACTAAAGCTTGGTTACATAAGTCTGCAATGTCACACCCTGAGAGATGAAATAGGATGCAAACTCGGTCTTTCTGACTCAGAACGTGTGTTTGTAACCACTCTGCTCTCTCA